GACAGATGCCGTATAATAAACGGCTCCGGAAATTCCGTCCACCTGGGGCTCTTTAGCTCTCCCCTGAATCTAAGCATAGGGACCTCCAGAATTTTCGTGTCCATAGAAAATGCGGCCGCCTCAGCCGCGATTCGATCCCACTACATTCGGTTCAGCGGTCGTGTACCTTATAAATCACTTAACCACTGTGGCGGGAGATCATGAAAAGGGAGCATCTATTTTTGGTGTAGGAGGTCACATTTGCGATGGGTGATATTCGGTTGCCTTTTCAGTGACATTTAAATGGCATTTAAATGCGTAACCGTTATGAATTTCAGTGGCATCTAAATGAAAACTTAGCTATCATGTGACCAGGGAACTAATGCGATTCTCGAATAGCCTCCCCCTCCCCCCCCCCCCCCTTACTCGACCACGTTGACGCTTCACCGAAGTAAGGTCCGTCACTTCCAATATTGATGCAACGCATTCCCCACGTGTTTGTGCCATCTCGTAGAGTTGTCAGGTTATATAGAGTGCGCCCGACCACAAAGCGCACTTCAGGAGGAACGTTTTACAATGTTTCTGAACTTTAGGACCAGCCGAAACAGTTTCCGTACTGTTTCTAAAGTACGCTTCACTAGCTGTTTAACTGCAGTTTTTTTTCCAACGACAACAACATCCTGTTGTTATAAAAAAAACCCCTTTGGGCAAACATAGGTGCAGCTCCAGAACCTTTTTTTATCAAGAACAATCGTGAACAACCCAGATGATCCACTTATTGGTGCCGACTTACACGGCTAGCTCCTTTCTTTTTTCTTCTGATAAAAATCAGAGTAAACAAGACTAGGCTGTTCTACTTCTACATTCACCCCGTCGCAACTTCAATCACTGTTCCCACGTGCTTAGCCAGATCGTGATAAGGCTTCGCAGAGACAGCGTGAGTTTAAGCGAAATGCTGTTTTTTCTACACTCGACCCTTATCGGTACGCCTACATGGCAAAGATTAGGAAAAAATACTTTAAAACCGTAAATTTCGCGGTTTCACTCACACGTAAACACCACGAGACCACCAATCATATTCGTCACGTGGCGACAAAAGTCGCCGTCACTTCGAGGTGATAGTACGTGTTTGCGCGAGGGCGTGCCTAAACACTCTGCCTTATCGCACAGCCAACACACGAAAGATTACAGAGAGGTTAAGCATAAAGAATTCGTGACGGGTAAATAAGTCAGCACGTTCCCACACTAACCTCGCCACAATGGGGACGAATGGACAAGTGACAAGAGGAGGCCATGCTGAGGAAAGCAGCTTCGATTTTACGTCACCGCCACCTATATGATGCCGGTAATTGATAAAACAACCATCGGTGGACGACGTCTCTACAACGCAACGGGATGGGTATGACTGGGGCGCCCCTCTGCATGTTCTCTTGGAGGAACACATTTACGGAGTTGCTGCACACCGTGAAAGGAACCGATACAGTATAAATGTCCTTCAGCTTCAGATGTCCATTCGGTCACGGTTCTTGCTATGCTCTTACTGCGTGCCACTCCGAATAATGTTCCAGAGAAGTTAACAAGGTGGAAGCCTTACAAGGCTTAAGAAACGCGAAAACCAACCGTCCGCACCCCGCGGACACAGTGTCAACACGAGTGGTATACAAAAAAAAGTAACCATCACTTGGTAACTTCACCGCGTGACGTATTCATGATGTCCCGCGTAGCCAAAGCCTGTGACGTTATTATGACGTGTGATGATGTTACGTCCCGTAATTACGTCCTCACACGACATCTTCACTTGATCAAACTTGGGCCTATCACTGAGTCATTGCAAACCAATAGGTGAGATGCAGAGAACTTGCAGCAATGGCGATCCTGGAGGCCGTAGAAAACTACATTAGGTGCCAAAAGCTTTTGGAGAAGTGATTTGGGAAGAAAAAAAATAAGGAGCTAATTTCTGTATTTCTTGTAGGCGACATGGCTAAGCTCCTTGTAGGGGATGGGGTGATGGGATCAAAAAAGAATAGTTGAAAGGAAAAGATATAGAAGGTGGAGCACTCGCCGCCCGCGAGTGAGAGTGGAGAAAGGAAAGATGGGGGAAACGGTCGAAGAAGTCTGAGGATGGGGCACCGATCGGCGAGAGCTACACGGCGTCAGGAGATCAAGGACGGTGGGCCGATTGACGAGAGCTACGCTGAAGTCTAAGATCATGGATGACAGAACCGTTCAGCACGAAATACACCAAGCGAGTCCTATGGGAAAACGCCATAGTATTGGAGAAGGGCACACTGATGGTTGAACCCATCGACTGAGAAGAAAAGGAAATCTTGATTTGATATCTGGGGTTTAACGTCCCAAAACCACTATATGATTATGAGAAACGCCGTAGTGGAGGGCTCCGGAAATTTAGACCACCTGGGGTTCTTTAACGTGCACCCAAATCTGAGCACACGGGCCTACAACATTTCCGCCTCCATCGGAAATGCAGCCGCCGCAAAGAAAAGGAAATCTTCCTCCTTCGAGCCCTAAGAAGACACGAAGGCGAAATTTTTCGTTTTCTTGAATGTCGATGTATTGATCATACCCTCCCACTCTCAGAATGCTATCCGCACCCAGGGTGGTGTTGCCTTGATCATCGGCCTAACTTTGACCGAGCTAGGATGTCATGTGATGACGTCACCATGTGAATTCACGTTGTGTGACGTCAAAGCGGCGCCGCGATTACGTCACAAAACTGCGATGATCTGTGGCTCCGTGATGGCGTCATGTCGAACGTCATCGCGTGATGCTTATTTTTTTTTACATTACTGGCGTTGACGTCGACGATGAAGGTCACCGGTAATTTCTCACATTTGATGAAGCATTTAAAATAGTTCAAGGGGACATGTTCACAAAAAGAAAAATGATCTGTCTGTCCAGTCAGCGTCACCATAACGTGAATGTGAGAGGTAGTGGCCAAAGACTGCACTAGGGTGGCCAATCTTTCTCTGTACAGCCTAATAATATGGCCAATCCTGCATAATGTCAAGCATGAACAGTCCTACGCAACAAGACACCCTGCCAAACGCGGTGTTTTGTGAGCTCTTGTATGTAAAGCTCCTTGATCTTGTTGTATGAAACCTGCAGTGCAAACTCGCTTCAACCCTACAAAGCTCTTTAACGGGCACAGCGTCTAGAAGCGGTCACTGTAATCATAATGATATTGTGGGACGCCGGGTCGATGAAGGACGAATCCGAACACAACGTAACGATCGTTTATTAACGTGGTAGCATCAGCGGGGCAAGCATGCCATCGCTTCGCTCGAAAGGTTACAAAAACCATGATGAAACTAAGCTTGGTAGCTTGGGGTATATAGCCACCAGTGGTGACGTAAGCCTCCGGTGAAACTGCATAGCGCTGTCTTTTATCGGAGGCGTGTTGTAGCAGGTGGCCGTGTCGCGCTGGGTTAATCAGAGGCTGCGTAGGTCTGTGCGCAGTGGTCGCCACATCGTTGTATGATGGTGAACGTAAGTCATTCACATATTACTACTGGCATTAGACCGTGAGCATGTTTGTGTAAACGTCCCCGTTCCGTTGAGACATATCCTCGCACGTGCTTCTTTGTATAGGTGTCGTGATGTAATTGGTTTTTACTTTTAGTTCTGGGGAAGCTGTTAACTGCCCTTATTTTTGGCACCTGCTCACATTCAGCTACATGTGAAAGTACGCGAGGGCATATACAAGTATGCACGGGTAATAACAGATGTCACAGCACCTTCAGACAGAGATGAGGAAGGCAATATCACAAACTTTCCCCTGTTAACGCATTTAACCAACGATAGCCCAAATAGCCATGTTGACAAAGTAATCGGGTGTTCTTGCACTTTGCCCTCTCCCCTCCCCTGTCTAAGTTTGTCTCAGGTGCAAAGAATCTAACCTTCGTCCTATAGTTTGGAAGCGTGACAGAGCCCTCCAAATTATCACACCTTGTTAACCTCAAAGAGGAGGTTTGGCCCGTTACCGTGCATCAAAAGCACTCTCACTCGTCATCGCATATCACAATGCATCGTCTTGACGTCTCTCAAAGGCCACTAGGCTGCCCAACAATCACCGGAAGTCACGTGCTCCGATAATTCTATTTGAATGACTGAATATACTGTACAACTTTTGGTATTGGAGTGGGTATGGCACCCGACTCGGAGATCAAAGGGAGTTCTTGCCAGCATCAGACGATCAAAGCGACAGTCTTATCGCAAAAGCTATGAAGCATTCTAAGAAGAGCAGTGGCTTCTGTTCCGGAGAACTGCGGATGACGCTGATAGTTCGATTGCCTGAATAGCTAATTTGTTCCCATCATTTCAATTAATATTCTCGGCTTAGGATATCTGGCAGGGGGGAAAATGCGCACTGTGGCATTCCAGACACATAGGCTTTGTTATTTTTTTCAACCATATCATTTTTCAGCGCCACTGTATCATTGGCAGAACATTGTGTCGAAATCAACGCTGTACGTGGCCTAATCTCTTCGAACTACATATCGCAGGGGCGTTCTGACCCCATTATAAGGCTAACACTTGACTGATATTTCTATACAGGACACGCTAATCTGCAATATAGGTGTGTATGCAGTTCATTCGGGACTAAGCAACGGTGTGGTCACAAGATAGTGCGTGGGCTAAGTTTTTACTTCCATACTTGCAGGTTATTCGACCACTGTTTATTGAATATAGATAAGTACTGAGGTGGCTGTCCTGTACTTTCTCACAATTGCTACAAAACTTTTGGAGCGTTTCACGCTACCGACGCGCGGCCAGCAGAAGACTAATTTTTAGCACCACACATAAGTGGGTGTTCGGTCAGAGTATGCAGCAAGTACGTCGACTTGTAAACATGCGCGCCTGCGCAGAACGACTCATTTAGCTTGCCGAATAGTCACCGTCACGCCATAGTGCCATTTTAGCAACCACACGTACCAAACAGTTGTTACTGAAGATATTGTGTAACCATGCGCTAACAATGAATGCTTTCGTACGCGTCTCACCTTCAGTCCCAGGTAGTCCAGCATGACCTTCTGGTCCTTGGCCCTGGGTCCCACGTGCCGGCTGCAGAAGTCGTCATGACTTGTCAGCAGACGATCCAGCGCCGGCGTCGACGACTTTGCCCGCTGCAGCAGACGGCGGTTCGTCTCGCCGAGTCGTCGGGCCAGCAAGTCCAGCGCGCACGACGCCGAAATCCGGGGTAACCGATGCATCGTCGACGAGTAGCCGCGGTCACGAGGCAAAGGACTTCGCGGCGGAGAGGTCGTCGGCGTCTTTCGCTCGACGCTGCCCGATCGACGGCTGGACGCGGCGGAGTCGACAACAAGGGACGACGTAGGAGGCGCGCTCGCGATAAGATGGACCGGCCGCTAATCAGCGCGCCACTGCCGACGGGGAGCAGCAGACGACGCCCGGGATCAGACGAGGCAGGCGGGAAGCGATGGAGGCGGCACTGCGCGCGAAGCGACCGCAAGATGAGGCGTGTAGGGAGTACGTGACCGCTTTATTTACGTATCGTCCAGTTGATACTGTAAAGGTGTTGCAATCTAAGGATGACCGAGCAATCAGGACCTACACCAGGCCGTGAATACCAGGTGCTGTACCGATATGAAACGACAGTGGGAGTGGCATGTAGGGAGCCAAACCAGGACCAGTAGATATAATCAAATGCCCGAGAGGTCTCGTCAGCTTTATTATATATTCCTATATATGTATGAGCTGCAAGTCAAAGGCAATGGTGTTGGGCAAAATCTCAAACTCGAACTCTGCTCAACGGCGAGTTTTAGTAACAAAAGTTGGAAGATCGCATACTATGGCTATAACTATACAAGAAATTATCTTCGCAGAAGTTGATGGGACATCAGCACCTACGGAAAACCAAATGTGCAGCAAATGTCACATCACTAACCAAGACAGTTTGTCGAGAGCTTCCGATGTTTCAAGTCGATGTTTCAATTCCGAACTACAAGTGGGAAACAATAACTGCGCCACTCTGAAGAAAATGTCACCCTACAAAGAAGCGAAGGACTTTCGCGGAATAAACCGCGCGTTAAAGCAGCGTAGCTTTGTGATAACTGCACCTCTGCCACCGATTCTTCCGATTTCGACGAGCGTCAAAAAGTTGTCCGAAAAAACGCGGACGGCATGCAATAAATGATGGACTTACCACTGAACTAGTTCGACCGCACGAAGTGAGTGCGGCACGAAACGTCCTATGGCCAAATGAACAAATCACGAGCCGATGTAACTCGCCGTATAGTCTGTGAAGCGTCTGGAAGAAACGGACTACGCGACACGCAAACACAGAATTCACTGCACGCAAATTCACGCTTTCTTGCGTAGTCCGCACATACATCTCCTAGCGATGCGCAGTTGTCTGCGCTGTTGATTGGGAAACGCCCACTTGCATCGCCACAGCCTTGGCGTCTTAGCATCGGGTGCAAACAGTGCTCGCTCAGACGCTGCAAAAATGCGCAGCCAAACGCCGGGCCGCGTTGTCATTGGAACGCATGGTTGTCGGAGTGTTGTTTGTTTTCACGATGTGTTTGACGGGCTGTGGTGACGTACGTTTATGTACCATTCATTTAATGCTGGTCGAACGGGTTTTCATTCAGTAACATGTTGAATAAACCTTGTAAACGACAAACTTGTCAAATGCCATAGCAGAAATTATACATGTATTCTTCTCAGCCATAAAAAACTTCATCAAGTGAGAACATCATTTAAATGGAAGCAATTGGCACGTGAAGAAGTGCTACGCATGACTACACAAGCGGAGGCCCGTGCATGCCTCTCCCCTCTGTTGACTGGCATCTTGCGGGATCGAATTTCGATGGTGGCGGCCGCGTTTTCGATGGAGGCGAAAATTCCGCCCACGTACCCATATTTTTTATTTAGGTGCACGCTATAAGGATCCCCTGCTGTTCAAAATTTCCGGAGCCCTCCACTACGGCGTCACTCGTAATTTTATCATGATTGAGGTACGTTAAGCCCGAACAATCATTATTATTATTATAGGCACATACACGCAGCAGCAAAGCTTGTATTGTTAGTTATCCTTCACGCTGCTACAGCGTTACAAACAAGTTACTGCACAAAATAACTGACATCGTTCTTCGCGCAGATATACCCAAGTACGCAAGCTTCTTCTCTGCCCAGCTTCATCAAACGGGGCTTTGTATCTTTGGACGCGCATGAGAAAAGAACACCCCCAGAAAAAAAAACAGTATTTTTGATGCAACTTTTTTGATGTTTTGCAGAAACTGTCGCGTCGTTTTCCGTGGAAGAGAAACGTTTGCAGATCGCTACAGGCTGAAGAATCCCGTGTATCCGTCGATGTACAGTGTCAATTTTTATGAAAGGTAACCCGGGAGCGCGTGGCTTGCGCGCTCTGGTGGCTGCTGGCAGCGCGTTCAAGCGGGAGCGAGAGCAACCACAGTCTCTTCTCGCGTCATCTCGCGGTGAGCAAAACAACCATTCGTTGCTGATATAAAACAGCAAGATTGCTAACCCTCCCCCTTCAAGGCGATTACCGGCTCACCTGTAATGACCTTGAAGGGGGAGGGGGTTGCAATCTTGCCACTGGTTCCATATCAGTAACAAATGGTTGTTTTGCTCACCGCGAGATGACGCGAGAAGAGACTGTGGTTGCTCTCGCTCCCGCTTGAATGCGCTGCCAGCAGCCGCCGGAGCGTGTTACCTTTCATAAAACTTGACTCTGTACAGTCCCCTTTTCTTTCTCTTTCGTTACTTCTTTGTGTCTGTGTTTCTAGTGTTGCGCTGTGAACCAAGTACAGCCGTCAGCAAGCTGAACAAAAACGCACCGCAGGGTGTCCTGAAACAGTTTGATGGCAACAACGCCCAGCAAGTTGCGGCTGCCATTAGTCAAACTATAGTTCAGCCCACGTATCAAGACTGATTGTTGGCCTGATGATATACTTTAGCCACGAAATATCACAAACACAGATTAAAGAAACACACACCGACAAGAACAAGTGGCGTATCGCGTTTCTTTAGTCTGTGTTTGTGATGTTTCGTGGTTAAAGTTTATCTTCAGGTAGTCGGAGCGTTCGTGTTACGCCTGTTGACGACTGTACTATGATTAGCAGCGCAGAAACGTCTTAGCCTTTGCAGCTGTTTCACTGTAAGCGTTTGGCATGTCACCTTTGACCAGTGTCGCGCTGTTGATCACATGAACTGAACGTGGTCACATATAAACCCCCCTAAAAGCCGTGTTACAAGGGGCGTCTACAGAATCGGTCCCTCATCGACAGAGAGAGAGAGAGAGAGAGAGAATTTATTTACAGAAAGGCAGAGAGGTCGGCTTGAGCGATAGCATGCTCTAGCCTTCTACTCTACACTGGGAGAGGGGAAAGGGGAGAAGAAAGACTAATGGATGACGATGGTGAGATAGAGAGGTGAGTATATGGAAATCTTTCTAGCTGAGACAAATTTTATAGCCGCACCTTATCGAGATTATTTCGGCGCAGAGTAGGCCAGTCACTCTTGTTTGCGATAAACCTCGCCGTGACCTTCAGCGTATGAACCACACTGTTCCCGATTAGCCGAGAGCACGTGTTGCCCTCTCGTGTAATGCTCACCATGGGAGGAAGATGAGACCTGAACTTTTGGTGAAACCAATGGAAATGGTAGAACGGTTAGACGGCAACGAAGCCACTATACTTCTTGGCGGCGTGCCTCACGATTTATACTCGCTGACTCCCTTCCTTCTCTGGGTCGGATCTGTAGCGAACTAGAGTATATTCTAGTTGACTATAGCCGCACATGAGCGGCGCGGCCTCCCGAATCTGCATTGTGGCAGTGCGCAAGCCCCGTGTGCTACCGTGAATACATATATTGGCTCAGCCCCACAGTATGTGAAACAGGTTGGCCCTGGCTGCTCGGCACAGATTGCATTGAGGTGTAAATACACTAGGATAGAACTCGCGTTCACTGGTAGAAACTTCAGTACTTCGAACATCTTTTTTAAATAGCTAGGGGGCTTAAAATACTTAGTCGTGATTTGTGTGCCCTAACCTCCAAGCTCTGGCCAAGCAACTCTGGGCTGTCCAATGGGCACGCGTTGTGGCCGAGGGACTTGCTCTTCCGGTCTCTACGCTGGAGTGGCCCGCAAAGTGTTGAGATACGCTCTGCAGGACATTAATAAAGTTGTCCATACCATACCATCACAAAAAAACATCATCACTATAAACGGGTATGTGCCATCAGAAATGAATTAGTCCCACAGCTTCCAACGGTCGCATCAGAAAGGAAGCCCAACAAATGGCTGTGAAGCGATGGCGATGACTTAAAGACCCTGAGTACGCGCAATGTAATAATAGTACGGGAATGAGATAATACTGCGAGAAGACACCGAATCGATGGAAGGCCTATACTCCAGCGACGTGTGAGTGTTTGTTAAACCCGGGCGTCTCTGTGCGCCGAACCAACTTAGAATCAACCTAAGATTACCTGTACCTAAGGACTATAGGAACGACCTAGAAGCGCCCTAGAAACAACCTGCTTCGACTAGGCAATTACTATAGGCTATTTCTCAGCTAAGGCCTAGGAATAGCCTCGTCGCAGTAGTCTAGGGCATGGTTATGGCACTCAATTGCTAAACCACAAAGGTTGCGGGTTTGAATCCTGGTGGCGGCAGCGGCTGCTTTCTCAATAGAGGCGAAATTATTGAGGCCCATGTGTTTAAATTCAGGAACACAATAAAGAAACACAGGTGGTCGAAATTCCCGTAGTCCTCCGGTACGGCTCCTCTCAAAATCATATCGTGGTTTCGGGACGCTAAACCCCGAGCAGTAATAAAGCCTTGAATAACCCTAACATCAAACAAATTAGTTGCTGTAATCGACTAACTACGCTGTTTCTAGGGTACAAACTTCGCCAATTTAATTTTTTGTATAAAAGCACGCTCTCATTTCACTTATTGCAGACCCACAAGATAACGTGCCCAAGAGACGAGCCGCAACACCCACGGCTATTGCGCGGGATACCTTTTCGCTACGCAATGCGTCGTTTTTGCTTCACGGAAACAGGGACAAGTAATTACCTAGCAAAATGAACGGCTTTTAAGTCAATTGAACCGAGGAAGAAAAAAAAATACAAACTCCTTCTCTGGACAAATCGGTGCCAACTTCGACAGTGCCGCAAGGTTGGCCGAGTGGCCCTTAAAATTGTGCTTTTACTTGTGTCCGGCATTAGCAATACGAAAGCATTCTTCAGCGTCCAAAGTGTTCCATTCCTGCATCCGCGGCAGGCCAGTCTGAGCCAGGAAGGAAGGAAGGAAAATAGAGGGAACAGAAAGGCAAGGAGGTTAACCAGCCTATAGGCAGCCGGTTTGCTACCCTGCGCTTGGGAGAGGGATGGGG